CTCTCTCTCTCTCTCTCTCTCTCTCTCTCTCTCTCTCTCTCTCTCTCTCTCTCTCTCTCATTTTTGAAACGAGTCCGGCAGTGTCACACTTTTCGGTTTCAAAAGGGCAAAAAAAAACCGTGTGGGGGACAACATGGGGTGCGGAGGTTTGAAAAGGGCAATATAGGTACGAAAGGTTCCTGCCCACGTGCGATTTTGTTGCCTTTTTTTCAAACTTGCTGCGTGGCATTGTTGCCCTTTTGAAACTCGCTTGTGCCACATCCGAACTTACCCCTCCTTTTTTTTTTTTTTTTTAAGCCAAAGAGGAGGTTGTGCCATGTTTCACTCAACTTCTCAGATATACTCCAAAATTAGGACATGGCTCCACTATACCCTGCTCCGAATGTACATGAGCTGGAGTAGTATCATCCAGCTACGTCAAGAAGGTCGAGCCAGTTGGAATGTCCCTGAGTGTGGGTCCTGGAGCAGTCTAGATACCCTTATTGTGCAACAGTTCTGTAGTGTAGCAAAGTCCTTAAACTATCTGCAGCATACTTGCAAGCGGACGCCGTCCGGGCGGTTCCGCACGTGCGGCAGACCGCCGGACCGGACCCGTGCGGCACACGAATGTGCGCCCGACGACCAGTTACGCCCCCCCCCCCCCCCAAAAAAAAAAAAAACGCCCCCGTCCCGTCCGGTCCGGGTCTGTCCGGTCTGGGGGTAGGGTGCCGCACGCGGCAAAGCGGACCGGACCGGACGTCCGGTCCGTCTGCTTGCAAGTATGATCTGCAGACTTTTGTCTGTTCTGCAAAACGACCAGTAACAGTTACAGCTCAGCTGCAGTTCTCCTCAAACACATTCGGTATTTAAATTTTAAAGTATAAACCGATCAAAGATGTCTACTTCTTACTCCCACATGCACTCAGTGCACTTCTTTTGCCTGCCTGTGGCAAATTTGCTCACTGACAGTGGCATCACAGTGATGGCCATGTGCACACCCAGTCCTAGCTCACCCTGGCTACAGCCTTTCAAACCCTTTGTCTCTATATCTCACAAGACAGAACAGTCACGAAATTCAATGGAAAAGAAAACAAAGCAAACCCATCACTCATGCATAACAATAGGACAGATTGCACCTTCCTCGCAGAAATCACAATACCATTCCACCGAAGAATTGCACTCGTGATCGGTAACATTTCGCAGAAGACCTCGCAGTTCACAAGACCATCAGGGCTCTCCAAGGCAAACAAAACCTTTTCAACTGAGAAAAGGCAGAATATACAANCCCCCCCCCAATAGTGGAACGATCTTGGTACTACGGAGTAGACAGCAACCTCGGAACAAGCGGGCCACCTTCTTCCCCCGAATACAACGGACGGTCATTATAGCCGTATTTGGGGTATCTTTCAGTATAAATACAGCTATAACGACCGTACGCTGTATCCGAGGGAAGAAGGTAGCAGGTCGAGGGGCCTACAGAGGGACTCCTTAAGTTAAGGGATCCCCTGGCTGACTCAGAGCTAAACAGACGTTGAACAAAGAGGGAACAGCAGACAGCGACTGAGCTACAGACCATCACTGTGACAGTGATACGCGGAACGGAAGATATAGAACGCACCTCAATAGCCTCTACGCGACTACTGTGCACCAAGCAACTTCTCAGCCTCCGTCATACTGTTTCGCTTTGTTTGGTATCTTGCCATCTTGTGGAGACTTGTGCAGCTGCGTAATCTGCACTTTTTTAGAAATTTATTTTTTCTTTAAATTTTGGATATTGAGGGAAGTTCAGGCCGAATTTTGTAATTCGTTTACTTAGCGTGTTACATCGCCCAGGCCTGAAGAATGTTCGGACTTAGCAAGTCAGGCAGGAATTCACCACAGTGAAGCAAAATAGAGCAAGGTAGAACTGGGTATAAGTGAGAAGGTGGAGGGAGGCCTTCTGAATCACAGCAGACTCAGGGGCGTTGAGGACAAGCAACAATGATTTCTTTCGTCAAAATGGACATTTTTTCCTTTTTTTGAACGGAATCGAAACTGACTAAATTGGCCGGATCGAGGACGAAATTTTTAGCTTTTGAGGGAAAACGTTGTACCGCCTGGACTCCAGCTACATCCAGGTACATTCAGGGGGTAGTACGGCGTTTTAAGAATGCCATACCCCCTGGACTTCAGCGAAGTCCAGATGCATCCAGTTGGTAGGGCGTTTTAAGAACGCTGTACACTCAAAAGCTAAAAAAATTCAACGGTTACCCAATTTCCCCAATTTACTCGGTTTCAATTTCGTTCAAAAAATACTTAATAAAAACGTCCTTCTTTTTACAAAATTGCTGTTGCCCTCTGTGACAGGGACTATGCCTTGCAAACTATGATGAGTGTTACCCTACAGAGTAAACCTCGAACTGCACTTTTTATTGAGTTTTCATCCCTTGGTAAGGACGGTGATGTACTATCTCATTATCAAAATCCTGGAAGGTGACTCTCTGGACAAGAGCAGGCGCGGCTGCTAAGGATAGTACATCTGTCCAACAGGCGGCCAGGGCTGAGCCACTGGCTGCAGAGGCAGCCTCCTTCCTGCTTTCTTTCAGAGCTGCACTTCTATATTGTTCCTAATTCGTTGTTAATTTGTGGGAAACGGTGCGAAATGTCGGACTATTCTATTCTGCCATATGGCACGGACAATGCTTCCGCTGTGTTTCATTCTCTCTGTGTGGTGTGATACTCCTATCCTCTCCCCTTCCTCCTGTGTATGTATGGGCATGCATGGGAGTCTATGTGAGCGAGTGTTGGTCTTCTGACAACAAGCAACCAGGTTCATAACAATTCCTTACCTGCAGCAGGGTATTGGCCCCCGGCCGGTAATTCTCGATTTACGCGTGTCATCCTTGTGCAGGGGCTAAGGTAAACTTCACTGTCCTGTTCAAAATTAAAGGGAGGTTGTGAAGGACAGCCCACGGTACTTCACATCATGTTACAACAGCTACATCATTCCTTAGTGTGTATCAGGGATGCTGGAGTGGTTTTCCAGCATGTGAGACTGGAGCGACGGGAGGCGGAAGGGGTGCATATCCCCGCCACCCTCGAGCAGAACGGACCAGTAATTCTTCCAAAAAAAGAGCAGAAAAGCAAAAAAAACACTGTAGGTGGCACAAGCGTAGAAGCATCAGGCTCTCCCATTCTGTTGCAAGTTGGATTTCTGCTGCTTGGACTAAGTCAGACTGTTCTCTTTCTTTGGATCTCGTCTACACTTGTGGTAGAGGTGGGGCTCGGCCGGGTTCGAGGGGAGTTGTCCCGAGCGAGGCTCAGGTTTTCCACATTTCATGTGCTGGCTTGGGCACTGGGCCCGTGATAAGAACGTTTGTATAGGAAAAGAAAAGGAAAAAAAAAAGGCATCAAGGAAAGATAAATATAAAAATGAATTCAAAGCAGATTATCATCACCCAAGCCCTCACTCCACTGACTTCCATGTAAACATGGTCACCGTGAGAATGAAGAATTGACAATGTGTGTAAAAAGACCTCATTGAAAGGACTTTCACAATTCAAACCCCGAACTCAGACCCCAACATAAAGAGGCCCAGTCGGCCAGATCCTGAAGTCAGGAATCAGCATTTCAAAAGACAAGTTCCCTGAGGCAAAAGTCGCGTCCCGATCTGAACGAAAAGTCACTTTGTAAAGTCACCTCCACGTACTTTGCGAACAGTCAAATCTGAATTTGGGAAAGGGTCGTGTCTGTTCAGCAGATAGCTAAAGGTCGCAGGCCCAGTCAAGTCCCAGTCCAGAGGTCGTGTCTAAAGTCAGACCCGAAGTCCGAACGACAGGCCCGAAGGCCGAAGCAGCAGCAGACTACGGGAAAAGGGTACTGGGACTCACACTTTGCAACAACAGGCAGTGGGCATGTGGTACCAGGCAAATTCGGCCAGAGGCTGGCCAAAGGAAACCAGTCCAACACTACATAAGACTGGCCAGCCTCCCATTTCGGCAGATGCTCATTGGCATGAGAGTGTGGAAGTGCTTGTGCACATGTGCGCTAGTTGTTGGGAGCAGCGCTATGCCAGTGAGCAGCGCCAGGGAGAGATGAGAGAGAGGAAGGAGGGCACTGGCAGGGAAGAGGGCAGCCATAGCTGTGCCAGTGCCAGGAAGTAGACTAGTCAGTAGTTAGTAGAGATAGAACAGTGGGTAGTATTCAGAGTTGATCCTCATGTGCATGTGTTAGTAGTAGGGAGTGTGCATGTGAGAGAGAGAGGGCGATAGTAAAGAAAGGGGACCAGACAAGTTGTCAGGGAGAGAGTTAGATTGAGGGCCTTTGAGACATGGTGGAAACTTACCTGAAGAGCGCTGTACTTGGTATCTACGTTGAGCGCGGATGAGTGCAGATGTTGGGACTCTTGATGATTGAAGAAGACTTGTAATTTTGTTGAGCGCTGGACAGTCGAACTCGTGATACTCTCTCTATAATTTGGTTGAGACAATGAGCTGCGCTATCTGGTCTAGTGCTCATCTTCTCTTTGTGCAAAGTGTGTGACAAATTGACAATGCAATCTGTGAATCTGTGAGTTTTGGATGCTGGCTTGAGCACTTCATCGTGTGGTGAGCTCTGCGGCTCATTGCATCATCACGAAATTCAATGAAAAATACCCCATGATCATGGACGGATGCCGGAACGAGGACCACGGGACACTGCACATTGCACAACATTCGAAAATTTGAAATGTGTTTGGCCCAAAACCTGTCTCTTATACACATCTAGATGTGTATAAGAGACAGCACTTGCACGGTTTAAGAAATTTTGGCCGTTGATCTTCGCTATCTACGGTCAAAATCGCTTGATTCGTGTAAGTGGGACCTAGCCCGAGGCTGGGTTGCATGACTGTGCCACCTTGCCCCGGCTCGGGCAACCCTCCGTTGGCCCCCCCCTGGAAATGGCCTGCCAAAGCAGCCTCCCAGATGATCTCTCTATCAGGCCTCATGCCCCCAATACGCAGGGTTGCCGGGTTGTCCCACCTTCCCACCTTCCCCTGCCTCCTGCCAGTCGCAATGGCCGAATCGGCCATCCATCCATCATCACTGAATATAACTGCCTTGGCCAGGTCTCAGATGAGACTCCGAGTAATATCCCCACTGATGGTAAAAGCCTCTCACCAAGTTCCTCAGCGAAACCCAGTCGCATCGGTAAGTCAGGTCCATTTACTCATTAATTTGGTGCATTCACTCAATACTTTGGTACATTTAAGCCTACTATATTTTCATGGTAGGGGTTACTCAACCCCATAGTACGGTGCTCAGCCTGGTGTTCTCGTCCATCACGATAGCGGATCAAGACCCCTATGATGGACGTATCTAAGGGGAGGGGTAATGTCAGTCCTTGGCTGCCTCTTTCCATTCAGAATACGCGTACTGCTACCACGTCCACGTAAAAGATGGACAGGTCTGACAATGGTCTGCAGCAGGCTAAACATACCTGGTCCAGGGTTCAGGTACACGACACTCCTCAGGAGGGTGGGTACTCCACTACTAGTCTATGGTCGTTAATGTTGACCAGCAGGCCGGAATTACCTGCGACGTGATCTCCATTGTGTCGCAGCAGAACAATCTCGTGATGCTGCGACCACAAAGAGACGGAGTGGAAGGGGTTCGTTTCCACTCTGAAGTCATGTGTGGCCACAGAGAATTCCGTGACCTGATAGCGTCTTGAGTAACCAATCTCTCTGGTCAGGCTCGTTTTCGCCTCAACATAGGGATCTGCCCTGATTTTCAGGGGGCCGAGCTTCGCCCTTAGAACGATGCCGGATGCCACACTCGCTTCTATGTGGGTTTTGACAGTGAACTCCTCCGTGATATTGGTGATGATGCCGTATGTCACTTGCTGGCCAACTGTGAGACGTGCACTGTTGTTAGGGCCGCCACCGTGGACCTCCAAGTGGTAATAGATGCCCCTCTCCATCTTGTAGAAAGGAGAGTTTAGGGCCTGCCATGCAGCAGTGTGATTGTTGTCGTTGACGATGGTGCATGGCACAACGACAGTGTGGTCAACAACCTTGGGCGTGTCGGGAGGAGAAGGCCTGTCATGCGATGTGACGTTCGGACGCGGGTCTGCAACCGCTGGCCTGTACACAATGGGAGGAAGATCGAGCAAGTATGATGTTCCGCTGGGGGTAGTCTCGTAGATAGTACCTGTAATAAAGCCATTCACAAGGAGAGAGAGGCGCTCCTTCCCATCTGCTGGATATGGCGCGATCTGGATGCCATGGACCGTGACATCCGCATCGGCACCGGACCCATGATCATCCCAAATGAGGCCTTCCAAGGTAGCCTCGCGGGCGTAGCTTTGGTTCGCAATACTCTGAGCAACGCAGACAAAGGGCCCCACTCCAGGAGCTGGTTCAGCCCACGAGTCCACGACAAAGTCTGACAGACAGACGTATCCTGTGGGGGGAATGGGCCGCCACACAGACCCGTAAAGATGTGCCCCCGAACCCTTGTCCGTCCACATCTGAGTGAAGTCAACTGGAGACTTGAGAACGGGCACGCTTGCATCCACATTTCGTGCCACAATCGTTGCCACCAGGCCACCGATGGGTTGGTAGTGAGGGACGGCAACGTGAGAGAGAACCCTCCACCCTTGGTCGAAGTCTCCTTGACCAATTGCAGGACTAAAGAAGGCAACATCCTTGGCAGACCTGGAACCCTGGTCGTTCCACGAGGGAGCATACAATGTAGTGACACCGATCTCCAGGTCCCCGTAGCGCATACTTTGGATGGATGCAGGCAAGTGGAGCACATGAACGGTCCGAACCGGCTTCGCATCATAAACGTCGCAACCAATGTACCCTTGCACCAGACTTTCCACACTCCCTATGTACCCCGCGGTGTCTATCCGCCAGAGGGAGCAATTGAATCTCGCACCAGACCCACGGTCATCCCACACAAAGTCTCCAATGGCTGCTTCCTTCGCGTACTCCGCCCGTACACAGACATGCGCGGCCATCGTGTCCTGCTCGGGCGTGGGTTTCTTCCAACTGCGGACAAACATGTCCCCTAGACACACATATCCTTGAGCTGGCACTGGTCTCCACACGGAGCCATCCGCTGGGTGCTGAAATGCTCGGTACCAAGGACGTCTGCTTGAGCCTGAACCCTTGTCATACCAAATCCTCTCATACTCCACCGGGGGGGCCAAGACAGGGTTGGATGCATTCACATTTCTTGCAACTATTGTGACGGCCACACCACTTATGTCTTTGTAGCTAGTGCGACTGAATTGACCGAGAACCCTCCATCCTTGGCTCTTCTCCGTAGCGGTCAACTGGGCCTCATAAATGGACACGTACAGCTTTGCCCCTGAGTATTTGTCCCGCCAGACTCGGCGGAACTTGGAAATTGCAGCTACCTCCAAGTCACCAAATCGAACGGCTTGCAGCTCCGCAACCTGTTGCCGAAGTGCGCGTCTTTCAGGGCCTGACACACTTGTCTTCCCCGTCTTCTTGGGATTGCCGAGCCGGCTGTTGAAATCCACGTGATTGGGAAGATCTGGAGAATCACCACGAAGTAAGGCACGCGAACCATCACTGGGGCTTGTTGCTGCTGCCCCGTAGGTTTGAAATTCCTCAAATGCTCTCTCTCCCCCATAATTCCCATCATCCAGCAATGCCACGTCATCACCGAGAACAGTCCGCCACAGCGCCACACAGCTCAGCAACACACTGAAGCAAGACATAGCCCGGCCGCTATTGAACAAGCTGAAACGCCCGCCCCTCGCACTAAAGAGCCTTGTGGTGCAGCTTAATACTTTAACACTCTTAGGTAAACCAATCTTCCCCCCTTGAAGTCCCATCTTTTCCACCTCCTTCTCTCAAACTGTTAAGCTGCCTATCGATCTACCAAACAAAGTAACTGTTTAACACACCTACTGTACAGCAAAATGAATCAAACCCCAAAATTAATACACAGCAGAAGGAATCAAACACCAGTTGGCCTGGACTAGCTTTGGTACTGCTGGGCAACTATAATTTTAAAGGTGGCTGTTTGCTGTCATGGGCCAATGGCGTGGTACGTACTACACAGTACTACATTATTAGTATACTGTAACACACTAGTATACACACTAGTATACACACTAGTATACACACTAGTATACACACATCAGCTCGAAGGAAAGAACTGAAATTTCCCTCCCAGGATCCCCTGCCGTAGCCCACACGTCCTTGACTTCTGCACCTCCTCCACCTGCACCAGAACAAGCAATTACGACTTCCATCGGTGAGAATGGGCTGCAAAAGAACACGCGAGATGAGAAAGATGTTTGCTTTTCCTTCCAAATGACAGCAGGCATGTCGAGCATGTACGTCTTTTGCAAGTTGCTAGTCACGTCTCAGTCCTCTTGTTGAAGTCCCGTTACATCTCTCTCTCTCTCTCTCTCTCTCTCTCTCTCTCTCTCTCTCTCTCCGTGTAAAGGAGCTCCGTGAGGTGATACTGTTGGACTGGCAGAGGCCAGTGAATGGGGTCTCATCTTCAGCAGCCTGTAATGGCCCCGTATCTGCTGGTTCCAGAAACGATGAACAGTGTGTCGCTCGCATGTGGAGATTGACAGTTTGACGGCAAAAGTACACTTTTGTTTCATCTTCCTCTTTTCCCAACATGGACAGATACATTTGGGGGAACAGGGGGATGGCTGGGCAAAGTGGTGTGGAATGGGGAAGCAGGGAAGGACCAGGGCAGGCTGCTACGGGATTTTACCTCCTCTCCTTCCAGGATTAGACCACGGCAGGTCCATCCATCCCCCTCNCCTCACTCCAGCAAGACTGACTGCAGCGGAGCCACCATCTCTACTGCTGCTATGCCATACTCCCATCCTACCAGCTAGCCCCCTCACTGGTAGGATGCGTGATAACCCACCATCTTCTCCCACTCACCTTATTAACTCTTACCGTCGTTCCAGAAGCAAGAGAATAGGCCACAGAGGTCCTACGATTGTTCCAAAAACTTTGAAAACCCACACACACCCTTCCAACGTTCTCCAAAACTGGCATACACTTCTGCCGCTCTCTTCCAGGTCTCACACCCCCACTTTCTGCTGGGTTACAGGGCAACGCAACTCACCCCAGCTCCGACCGGCGTCGTCCGGCAGCAACCCTTGGTTTTCCCGTGGAAAGCCCCCCCAAGACCTCCCCAGATCTCTCAACCAGACCTCACGCTCCTGCATCACAGGTTACAGGGCAACACCCCAGCTCTGGTCAGCGTCGTTCTGGCATCAAACAACCGCAGATCTCGAGTATAGCAGTGATGACGCCATGTAAGACAAGTTGGTGGGGATCCCTAAGTCCTAAAAACATCCTAGGACCACTAAGCACCCAAATCTCTTTAGGACATTCAAAAAATGTTTTTAAAAAATATAAGAACAGGGGGGTCAAAACTAAAATTGTCTGCTATCCTAGAGCGTCGGTCCAGGCTTTCAGACCTCATACCATAACTCACTTGATGTCATACCCCCTTCTGCTAGGGTAACAGGGCACCACAACCCTCCCCAGTACCGATCGACCTAGCTCTGACTGACTGGAAGTGCCTTCCTCCCTCGACAATTTTCGTAGCGGCAAGCCCCTAAGCGGGTTACAGGGTCAATACCTCAGCGCCAGCTATGTCGGACGATCTGGTTATGCTTTCCACCCTCAGCATAACTTCCCAGGCCTCAAGCTCCCCCTAGGTTACAGAGCAGCAGCTCCAACACCGGCCTGTGGTCCGAGCCTCGTCCTTCTGACCTACTTACCCAAACAAACAACCTTTTCGGTTGAAAATCCCCTTGCCACCTTCCTTCCTTCAAACCTAGCTCCCCCCCCCCCTTCGGCTCACTGTGTAGCCCTGGAAATCACTCCTTCCCTCAAAAAATCCTAACACTGCTATAAGTAGCCACCCCCTTGCTTTCTCTCCCCACCCGCGAGTACTGATCCGACCCTAAATCAATCTGGCTAAGAGAGCAATCCCCCAATACCGCCTCCCCCCTCCAAGAATAACACCTCCCACCTTGTGAAACCCTCACGGGGGGAGGCTCCAACCCTCAAGGAAGACACCACAGGTATACACAGCAAGCCACAATTACACCCCTCAAGACCAGGAAGTTGGAATTGACAAGCCAATCCGAATCAAATTTTACCGCACGGTGTTATGATTGGTAATCATAGGATTTGAAAAACTGCAGAAACTCACTTTTAGACATCGGTGATCAGAAACGAATTTGTATCAGAAATCAAGAAAAAACAAGACCATAGGATGAATGATAAGGAAAACTACCGAGTGACGAAAATTACGCGAAATTATACGAAAATTAGGCTTAGATATCCATAACGGATTTTTGAATCTGATTCCCAAACCACGGTTTGAAAAACTCATAGCAAAGACGTATAACACGAAAAAGTTTAAGAAATTATTTTCTAGAAACCATACAAAAAACACTGAATCAGATCATCATCATTGAAAATATCCAGAATACGTCTCCAACACTCGAACCATAAATTTAGAATAGAGAAGACACAATTCAGAAAACCTAATTCGATCATCATCATTTGGAGAGCATCAAGGGTTGTGTACTTATCCTTTTTGAATTAATGGGATTAAAGGATCAATCTTGAAAACATTTGTAACAAAATTCAGGAATCAACGTCCATAATCATGAGGATCAAAAGTGAGTATGCCATGGTAAGAAAACACCAAGAAAGGCTCCTCCATGAGTCCTCTCCTCCTCTCCCCTCCCTTCCCCCTTCACTCGCATGTGACGTCACCCCTACCTCGCGGGAACCATCGCCCTCGCGCCCCTCGGCGTCCTCACCCTTCAAAACGGGGCGCACGAGGCATCTAACACGTAGCACAGGGATACCTCATCGGAGCCGTTCACCAGACGCATGGCGCAACAGCCCCTCCCCAATCTCAACCCCGTCAGCCTGTGACTCAGGCAGATCGCGGCACCAATCAAATCCCCAACATGTACCAACCAAATTAAGAAGATCCATGGAGTTATACCCTCGTGAAAACACTTACCTGTCCAAACAGATCCATCACCCTCGCCTTCGCGTTCGACGTATGACATCCCGTATTTAGTGGCTCGAATAAGAGTTCGATGCATGATGATGCTGGCAACCATACCCATCACAACCCTTCACCAGCAGCCTCTTCATAGCACCCCCAGCCTGTCCGCACGCTGCGTCACCCACATCACCAATCCACCCCATAGCCATCCCTCCAAGCCTCCCATTCTCCACCTCACACCACCCCAAACCCTCTTCTCCGAGATCGCGTCGCTCCACCGCTCGTTACCGCCCGGCACCCCATGACCTTGCGCCACTCCACCGCCTGTTGCTGCCCGGTGCCATTCGATTCGACTGCGTGAGTGGGGCGCAGCGCTCCCGGCCGTGCGGCGGCTCCCGGAGCTCTATCATGAGTTCTCGACTTCTCGACATTCCGTAGGGTCACTACACTGAACTATGGACCAGGTTCGTTTTGACACTGAACTATAGTTCGTTTCGCCATTTAGATTTTCACAATTATATATTTTTTTACTTACTACAGGTGAAGTCGCATTCGGGTTTTTTTTGTTCTTCTGTCTTCTACCTTCTTCTTCTTCAGAATCTTAATCTTCTTCTTCTTCTTCTTCAGAATCTTAATCTTCTTCTTCTTCTTCTTCTACTTCTTCTTCGGCTCCTCGGCACGATTTGCCAAGGTAGTAGGTGGGCCCTAGAGATCTTGGATTTCACAGGTGCACCCCCACTTCAGGCAGACAGAATCCTGAGATGGGTTTTCATGGGTCTTTAGGGTGTGTAGGAGTAAAGATTCGGATTTTTTGGTACCCCCCATCTCGTTTTTGTACAATGGCTTATCGAGGGCTATGCGGGAACAGATTCGGGGAAAGGGAAAATAAAATAGTAAAAAAAAAATAAAAAATGTGGAGCCCTGGAGGTAGAGAGTGGTTTGTCGCTGGGTTTAACAAAAAATCGTTTTTTTAGGTACTGACACGGAATCCGGTCTTTTTGGGCGCAAGGGTACCTTTATTTCAAACTGGGAATGGTACCGATGGAAAGTGAGGAAGACGGGACTACCTGTTTTTTCCTTGCTATTTTGGCCCCCTAGTATCTATATATCTGTAGGAGAGATGAGGCACTTGATCTTTTTCCAACCGCTACACAATGTGAAGGGTTGCGCTCGAAATTTTGACTTTGGGCTTCGTCCACCAGCGAAAAAGAAGTGGTGCTACGAGTGTTTGATCGCTGTGTCACGCAGGTGCAGGATGACGCGCAGAAGACGCTTCGATCTGAGGTTGAGGGATTATGGCCGGGGTGGGGGTGATGAAGGGAGGAAGGAAGGAGAGAGAGTGAAGTGGAGAGGTATAAGGAAGGATGTCGAGATATGATGACACTACCGGTGTGGATACGGTGGTGCCCTCCTGAAGAGACTTGTTGTACGCGCATTGCCAAGTCAAAACGCGTCGAGGGAAGTGCGTATGAGGGGAGTGCGTATGTAAGGGTGTTTGGCATATAGTAATTCTCATTCATGAGTGTTTTGTGTGCCCTCCTGAGAATTGGTTTTTTACCTGTTCACTGTTGACCCGATTTATGGGTAGACGTGACGACCAACGCAATACTCCGGTAGAGTTGTCACGAGTGGTTATCTGTATCTATTGGTAACGAGGAATCAGATTCCTATTGTGGCCGGGGGTGAGTAAAGTTGGGAGTGAAGGAGGGGTGACGAAAAAGCGGAGTAGAGAT